ATGGGTCGTGTATCTTCGAATAGACTGGAGTAGCTGTTCATCGAGTCCAGTCACCCTTAGCCAACTTGTCACCTGCAATGCAGTCGTCAGGCAGCCAAGCGGGAGCCAAAAATTACAAATAATATATTCGTAATATTAATTTTAAATAATACTATTATTTATTCATACTAATTCAGTTGCCGATTCTGAGGCACTGGTATGGCGACGTGACGAAGGACGAGCTCCAAGCTGCCATCCGCATGGTGAAACCAGGCGCTGGGGCGCGGGGGGCTCCTCCCGGGCCCGAGGTTTCGAAAGGGGAATTTCTAATAATTACCCCGCACTATTTTGGGGGTTCCTTTAAAGGGTTCCTTTAAACGGTTCTAGAAGGGAGCTATAGCAGGGTTCGGTGCTAGAGCGGCTTAAAAAATTGATTTGCAATACTATTTTGGGGGTTCTTTATTATAATAATGGTATAATGGGCCCCAAAACCCTATTCTAATTATCAGGGCCCCTATGTTATAGAACCCTATTATAGATCCCTTTTTGTAACCCTTTGAAGGCACCCTAAAGAAGAGCCCTATTCTAACTATAAAGGCCCCTACAGTACATTAAATCAGCCCATACTCGTAGCCGCAGCTCATGGGCCGAGGTCACGACAAGGCAGTAAGTTTTCATATCGTGTTTAGTCCTCTGTGTGTATCATAGGGATCCTTAGGGGTGTAGGGGGAGGGGGGGTAGGGGGCCTTAAGGCCCATAATAAGGACTAATAAGGCCTATTTAAGGAAATATATTCCCCTACACCCCTCCCCCCTACACCCCTAAGGATCCCTATGAGTGTATGCACACACGGAGATACCGGTCGGTCTGTTTGTCTGAGCATCTGTTCGTATTTACGGACCGTTTTCTGATTTGTGTGTCCGTTGCGTCTGCCTGCTGTTCCTGACTGAGGGTAGTCTTTCGATTGGTCCTTGCTTGTCTCATTGCACAGACTCGGTTTGTTCGTCCGTGAGCCTTGATATACTTGCACGAAAGTGTCTATCCGTGTGTGTATGCATATGTATATATGTATGTGTGTATATATATATATATATGTATACAGAAGCACACTGTATAGGCTTGTGGCGTGTGTATGCCTGTGTATATACGTATATAGACAAAGAGAGAGGGAGAGAGAGAGAGAGAAAGCAAAAATTCCACTGGTGCTATTCGTTTTTTCACGCTGCTCTGCCCGCCAACAGCATGCGTGGGCGTTTCGCCCGGAAGCCTTGACCGGCTCCTATGCCCGGGAGGGGGGGAGAGAGATAGAGAGAGATCTCTCTGTCTGTGTTCTCAGAAACCAGCCCCACAACTGTGCTTGGGAGAGAGTGGACGACGCGAGTGACACTTTCACAAGGTTATTCATCTGGTTATGATGCAGCGTCCGCAGGTAGGTGGCCAGACAGACGGACTGACCCCCACGACGGACAGAGCCACACATTCGCTCTTATATCAGCGCAAGCATGTGTGCGCATAGCTTCGTGCAGTAATAATGCAAGCATGTGATCGTGCGAATGTGTGAGTGTGCAAGTGCGCAATGGTGAGAGAGACGCCCAGCTCCAGGTTGTTCCGTGGATGGGTTCTTATAGTTTTATCGGTGCCGCTTCGAGCTTCGGGGTCTGTGTGTTGCCCCATGCTCCTTCGCTTCCTGCCTCCCCATTTACCCTACTCGCCTACCCATCCTTGTATCTGCCTTGGCCCTGCAGTCATACAATCAAAGGGGAAAAGGAGGGACCCTTAATGGGGACCCCCACCCTATAATGGGCTATATAATGGGTATATAATAGCTATATTAAGGGTATATACCTAGGGGTCCTTATTAAGGGTCCCTCCTTTTACCTTGGGATACAAGGTTGACTTCGCGTGTGTGTTTGTACGGCCGTTCATGCTGCAGAGAGTCTTGAGGTGAGTCGTCCGAGTCCATCACCTACGTGAACCGCGTTTTGGCCTTTCTGCTCGCTGGCAAATTCGGCAAGTGTTTGGTTGTACCAGCGTATCAGATCGAAGCAAATGGGAGTTTCTCAAAATAGGGGACCCTAATACAGCATCCTAAGTAGTAGGATCCTTATTATAAGGACCCCAAAATACGGAAGCCCTAATTTTCGGAAACGCCCAAAAAAGCACCTCCCCCAACGTTACCTACCACGGCCTCACGGGCTTTTCGTGGCCAAAGCTTCGTCTGGTCATGGATCCATGGATCTAGCGATGTAGCTCAGACGTCTCGACACGGAGCCCAAAGCTCCAAGGTTTGCCACCGACGAGTCCTTTGAAAAGCTCATGCAGCTTCCGAAAGAGCCTTTCAGAATGTCGTGCGGAGATCAACTCTGTGTCTCGGCTGCCTTTTATTCCAAGCCATTGCGCCTGTGAGTAGCCCCTCCTGTTTCCTGTCCGGAAACTGCAGAAACAAGGGCATTGCCTATTTCCCACTGTACATCTCAACATAGGCTTGTTTCTAGCCTCCCTTCCACAATCGCACAGTGCATGGATGCAACTATGTAAATCTCAGTCTTAAACCCTAAACCCTAAACCGTAGCCTCAAGAACCCTTGCAGACTTCAGAGCCTCAGGCGTGAACCTCGCCCACATCTCGGTCTCAACTTGCTGAGCTTACGCCTCGCGCAATTGGCAGCAACAGAAGATGGACCGTGTCACGATTGCATCGTGGCATATCACGAAGTGAGAGTTGAGCTTACATCAGTCATCTCTTGCAGCCTTCCACACAGAAAGAGCCTTAGCTTCGCTGTTCATGCCTGCTTCATTCAGTTGGATGGCTGCCCCCTGTAGAAGATGAGAAGGCGTTGCTTTGACAACGCCTGGGCCACATGTTCCGGTCTGTCTCAAATTCGGATTCAGTTTTGTGGGAGGAGCTGCCACGAACCCTTTGCGAGCCAAAAAAGCCGCCAGTGCACGCAAGTTGTTGTTGGTGTTACCTACATTTTTTGCATCAAAGACTATATGCCCATTCGCAACATAGGTTTTTAACAACCCGAAGCCCAAGCTAAACCCTAAGCTAGCGGCTAAGCCTCAAAGCACAAAGCCAAGTGACTTCGAAAGCCAAAGCTGCTCGTCGGGTCGACCTGAGCGAGTTGAGTCGAAACCCAAACTCTCTGAGAGCCCAATATCCCTTAATTAAACAATATATACCTTAAGTTATAAGGGGCTTCATATTATGATTTAAGTTTTATTCCTTAATTAAAGGGTATTGGGCTCTCGGGGCTCTGTCTCTGAGGTGGATGCTGACAGGACTGGCTTTCTTTGCTCTTGCCTCGGAACCTTCAGCCGCTGTGCAGTCTGAGAATAAGTGGCATAGAGAAAAAGGAGCAGTGTTGTTGTTGTAATACACGCTCGAACAAATCCGCACATTAGGTGGATAGGTATGGTACATGTGCACGTGCACAGTGACACTATGCACACCCTTAGTACATAAATGCATGCCCACATACGTACATGCACGCATGTAGAAATGAAACGAGCACTTGCACATGTATTATTGCTGAAGGCATGATCTTTCGTGCACGCATACAACACAACCACCTAAACACACACGCACGCGCGCACACCCAGACAACACGCGCACATAAAACCCACATGTGTGCGTGTTTATGTCTCAAGAACTCGACCAGATAGGAAACGTACCGAAGCCAAGCTGAATACCCCTTCGCCTGGCCAAGGCACGGGAAGGACCCAGGGTGCACCTGCCATGTGCGGGCCCTGTTCGAGATTTGTTGCAAAGGCTGCACTCACGGTACGGGCTTCCCGCATGTGCGGGACTCAAGTTCTATCGAGAGCGAATGGAGGCGATGCCAACCCAAAGCAGTGCTCACTCGACCTGCACATGTTTGTTGCGCTGTTGTTTTGGTGCAGCATGACACCCGAACTGCTGATTGAGTCAAGTTGACTAGACATTCATGCAGCAGCCGATTCAGGGCCCTGTCACGGCATTTGCCCTTGCGGATAAGCCAGCTGTCGGCTGGGTGCTGCTGACGCGTTTCTTTGTGGGCATTGTGGAGCCGACTTGCATAGCCCAGCAGCCTGCGCCACAGCGACGAGTAGTTCTACAGTACTCGTAGTTCTTCTTGTTCTTCCCAATGCTATGCGTGCCAGAGAGAGCAATGCAAGTTTGACAACGTAGTAACTACGTCAATCGCCCTGGTCGACTGAAAGATTAAGTTAAAATGAGGCCACCTTGCGTGCTTCGAGATTCCAGGAACTTCCAGGATACCTCACGAGATATACATACGACATAATTACATACATGTGTGTATGTATATGTACATATATACACATGTATGTACGTGTGTGTATATCTGTATAATATAGTATGTGAATCACAAGACGCACCCACAACGGTAAAGAGCCCTTGCCTGGATCTCGTTTCTTGGCTTACTACTGCTAGGGGAGGTTCCACGGCAATAGACTCTTGCAGGCGGACCGAGCCGCACGCCTGGCGCCAGGCCTGGATTGTAAGGTGGTCTAAGAGTCAGACGGAGAGAGGGAGAGATGCGCTTGTGTACTGTACCTAGAGTCTGCATTGTAGTTCCTTTTTTTGGTTAACCAGCTTCAGGGTTAGGATCCTATACTGAAATCCAAGGCACGGTCTATTTCTCGAGCTAAAAAGGCCTCAGTGTGCAGTGAACTGTTCGACCTTGGTACGCAAGGTGCTGGATCTCCGTCCACCACACTAGCCTGGTATGTTCCAAGCTCTTTCTCTGCCCAACACTAGCCAGGTATGCTCGATGAGCATCTGCACTCCCCTCCCAGCTATGCTGGGATCTAAAATAGGGTAGGCTAGTTCAGAAATAACGGGCGTACATGAGCTACGAAGAAATACGGATCATTCAGATCACCCTCCGAGCGGCAAGGCTTCAAGAGGTCTGTGTCATTAGCGTTAAAAGTGGAAAAGTAGTCAGCGAATGTATACAGGAGCACTTAAGATCCTGCATATACACGACCGGCTATAGAGACTCAAGGCCTTTCACGAGTTCACGGTCGCCTTCGCGCAACTTCAAACTCCGTGCGTCCCGTCCAGAGCTGAGACAGCTTACGAGCCCCACACTCAGTAGTGTCAAGTACGTAGTCAGGCAAATGCCCTTCGTAGAGATACCAAGTCTTTCGACGACCTGTCAGCTGCACATACGGAAAGCTGTTGACTATCTCTGCTGGTGCATGAAACAGCTGCGATCTCGACGAGCTGTGGAACCGAACCAACACGTGGCTTGATTCATCATAGCACCAGCGGTCAAACGGTCCAGGGTCAACCCAGCCATCAACCCAGCCAAAGCTACTTCCAAACAGCTGCCTTCCATACAGCCTCTCTTGCTCCATGTGCCGCAAAGCCGCATTCCGGTAGGACTGCACCTGATGCTGTCCTAGTGAGACCGTCTGTACATTGGGCTGATGACTGCCAGTGAGGCTCCTACATGGACACAACCTAGCCCGGAACCAACCAAGAGCCCAAGCTCCGCCCTTGACGCCTTTCAGCGCAATGAACTTAGCGACTTCCCATGCGAAGATCAGCGCAACCGCAAGCAAGCATTCGGACTCCAAAAGAGCCGAGAAAGAATCATCATTGTCATCATCCTGGACACGAGCGCCTTGGACCTGCCCCACCTGACTGGCGATAGCCAGTGCAGCAACTAACATGGCAAGTCTAGGGTCAGCGTTGGCCGGTGCGGCATAAACACAACTAGACTCACACTGCACATGAGTTGCTTCATCATGTGATGCCTCCGAGCCCTCACTCCATACGTAGCCTATCAAGTCAAGGAGAAAGTACAACCGGGATTCTGGCATCGCCTTTGTAAGGCAATCGGCAATCATTTCAATGCCTGGTAAATGTTGGATCATCAACGCCTCGTCTGATATAGCTTCATGAAAGTGTCTCGCACGTAGTCTGAGGTGTCTCGTCCGCCACGCTCCTCCGGGAATGATAAGTAGCTGGATGCATGCAGCATTGTCGATACATTGAGTCCACCGCAACTCTTGCCGGCACATCTCCGCCCAGAGGGGAGTCAATGCTCTCGCTAACACCATATTGTCCACGGCGGCAATGATTTCGCTTTCGGCCGTTGAAAGTGCCGTCAGCGTTTGGCGGCTACTGTGCCAGCTGACCGCACCGCCTGCGATCACCAACAGAATACCTGTATGGCTTCGGCCACCGTCATCCTGACCAAAGCTTGCGTCCGACCATCCCTCAACCGTACATCGACTCCGTGCACATCTTAGCGGCTCCTGGCCGCGCCAAGGTTCATCAAAGGAGCCATACCGGAGTTGTAGATGGGAGGTCCTCGCCAGATATGCCAGCGTCTTCAAGCCATCCCTGTACACCGAAGAAGGGCACCTTGAGCAGTATTGGCCTAGCTTGCTCACGGTGTATGACACGTCTAAACGTGTTTTACCCGATAGCCAGAGCAGCTCACCGACTAGTTTCTGCGCACGGCGCAGAAGAGGAATACTCAACGTTTCTTCCTCCTCGTAACCGGTCTTAAAGTCCGGAAGAGAAGACTCGACAGGCAATGCATACCGAGATACCAGATCACTCAAGTACGAGGTCTGATGGAGGTGATACGCTCCATCACTTCCCCGCTCAACCTCAATCACAGAAGCGCAAACCATCCTTCAGCCAGTTCGGCGCGCTGGTTTTCCAGAGGCCGCCAAACGCCGCTATCATGAAAGAAAGTTCGTCCGTTGCCCCAGTTAAGAGAAGATCATCAACGTACACTCCCAAGATGGCTAATATTTCTCCCCATTCGTCTCGAAACTCGATACACCCAGTCTTACCTTCAAGAGCTTCCAGGACAAACCAGATTGAGGGATCGGCCTCAGATCGTCGCAGTTTGCGCAAACTCTCCCCGGGTCCAGTCCACGACCACTGAGCCAATGTGGAATCACGATACACCGACCAATCAGCCGGACTCTCGACGAGTCCATAAAGTGCGCGGTCTACCAGAAGATAGGTTTGGGGATCAAGAAGTCCCGCATCAATTATCAAACGAGGAACTGCCACAGCAATCTTGGAACCGTCTCGTCGCCGAGCTGGCGCAAGCAAAAACGCCGTTTTGACGTCAATGACTACTCCATCCCACCGAGAACCTGCTGCCCATCTCAGTTGTAACCGCAAGCTTTCAGCCTCCAAGCCACTGGCATAAATCTCTCTCCGACTCTCTGCCTTAGCAGCCGTAGAAGAAGGACCTGATGAACTTGACGATGCCGGGTTGATAAGGCCTGTATGTGACGACTGAGCGTCCGGGAGGTAATTTCCACAGGCCACTAGACGCGCACGTTTACGCCTATCCGGAGCCTTAATGGAGAACACCAACTTCCCCGGCACTACCTGCACCCTTACACCACTGGCCTCTAATTCCTGCAACTCCGCCTTCGTAATCAAACGGACAGCCTGATGCACGGTAATCAAAGCAGTAAGCTCCTCCGCGATTGCATCCTTCCATGCAGACAAGTCCTGCCGCACTTCATTTAAGGAAACCTGTTGAGTTTGCAGCAAGATATCCGGAGCAGGCTCCCCAGTGATGGGAAGATCGTTCGTCCCCAACTCTTCAAGCGCAGCCTCAACCTGCAACTGCATAAGGGTCCTAGTCGTGACATCCAAATCGGGATCGATAGCCTCAGCCAACTTCCTAAGCCGGACTACCTTAATCATCCTGCTTGTGGGTTCCACTATCATGTTTTCGTACTGGGCCATCCACCCAAGCACTGACATGGCATTTTGCGACTGATAGTCACATCGGTAAGTTCGGAATGAATCACACACACCACGATAACCAGCATAATAGTCCAGCATATCATGGCGGTCACCGCATTCAAAGGCAGCCTCAAGACTCCCCCCCGATGTCCGATCGGGTGGCCCCGCACTTGCTGACACGGCACACACAAAGTATCGGGTGCTATCCTCTCCTAGCTCCTGTCCTGGCTCTACTGCCGCGCACGGGCACTCTAGAGCACCATCTGTACCGCGGACTCCCCCATGTTGCACTTCATCTTGGACTCTAGCTTGCAAGGCCCTGACAGAAGGTTTCAGTGCCAAAGGGTTGGGGCGATACGGAGCAGGAACGTTAAAGCCTAAGGACAACAAATTGTGAATGTCTAGAACGGAAAGCTTTGCAGCAAAACCCGGAGTGTACGCAACGACAACCAACCTAGGTCCTATAGCTGGCTCCACGCCATGAGGAACAAGCGGATCGATGTAGGCCTTGCCACCGCTGTACTCCAATGGCCCATCCGGTGTAATGACTCTGCCCCCCGCAAACTCCGAAAGACATACGACCATGTTTCGGTAACCATGCTGATTATGAACATCTCGATGCAATTCAGCCACTGCATTAAACGAAATCCGCAATGCTGTATACTCGTGCGCGGCATCGAAGCTCGCAACCAAGCGATTGAGCAGCCTAAGCAACGTGGGACGCACCTTAGTAGCCGTAATAAGGCCAACCTGCGATCCTCGGCAGAACGCCCCGAAGGAGATAACCCACGAAAGAGAGTTGCCCAGCACATCAGAATCAATGCTTCGGCTACCCTTCTTAGCTGTGCTGCACAGAGATGTATACACTACGCTCGCAACTTCAAGGGTGTCCAACTGATGCTTTTCCAACATGGTTTTGGCTACCCCCTCAGACACTTCAACACTAAAACCCTGGTCTCCGCCCCGGATTCTGCGCAATGCCATAGGAGCGAAAAGCTCAGGAAACAAATCCCCATCGTCAGTGACATCCGCCGCACCCCCGACCACTGTTGCACCCGGTGCCTCATGTAGCCGGTCATGCCCGGCTTCCGACACACGTGCAACCTCTCCACCTACCACAGCTAAGTCTCCTAAAGCAGCGTCCGTATCCCTCGGGGTTATCAGGCTTGTCTTGCCTCGAGTCCGACGGTCGGGATCAACCCGCCAAACCTCGCCCGGAAGGGTAATTGGAAGAGCGTTAAACGGTCGGTTCAACCTGATAGTTGTAGATACCAGTAATTTCGGATCATCAAGAGGCTCCAATGCAATGGTGTAACCCTTCGGGGTGTAACTGGAAGGACCCACGATGAAACCGTTGACAAACCGACTGGACCAGTGATTCTCTTCATTCTTCTTCTCACGTACACACACCTGCGTGGCCCAAGGAATTAAAGATCTGACTGATGTATCAAATTTGGCAAGCTCTGAGCGCAAGAGGCCCTCTCCGGCATCCAGCGCGGCAAGCGACCAATAAGAAGGACCAAACCCTGGAGGAGTGGAAAGACGAGAACGAATAGCAGCCTTGATCAACCCTACGGCCGATTCTGCTCGTCCATTGCTTGAAGGATCATGTCCCTCCGTGCAAGTATGAACAAGGTTATGGCTGTCAGCTACATTCCGCACCATCCTGTTCATCCACTCTCCTCCCCTATCCGTGTGCAATCGCAAGACCGGAAAATGCCACTGATGCAGTTTCGTCAGAGTTCGGGATAACGCTGCCGAAACCTCCTCCTTGGTACGCCTCGGAAGCGTTTCAACAAACACAAGGCGCCGCATGCTAATTCCATCTACTTTGGTAGCATAGCACTGCTTCCAATACCTAGTGTTGTCCTCTGCCTCTTCTTGGCAAACTCGGCACACCTTAGGAATCGCATCAACCGCCTCTGTATCAAAGAACCCTGCATCATCAGCCTCGGGCATACCTTCATCGTCCGTCACTTCCTTGGGCATCCTGCCTGGCCTCCCCGATTCCGGATCATACTCAGGCACGCCTTCATCGTCTGTGACTCCTACCGGCATCCCACCTGGCTTCCCCGATTCAGGATCTACGTCATCATCTGATGGTTCATACTCCATACAGTCCTCCGGAATCGCTCCATCCGAAGGCTTACCTACACCATCTATCCGATCAGCTGGGCTCTGTGGTTGCGTACTGTTGGGATCTGCGTCATCTTGAATCCCAGCCGCCTCCGAAGGCTTAGTACTCTCCCACAGAAATTCCTGAGTCTCTTCATCTATAGGAAAAGTGTAGCAAGCAACAAACAGATACCTCGGCTTAGGCATACACTTCAAAGGCGAGAGCTCAGATAACCCAGCAACATACGGCCCTCCAAGATCAGCAGCCAAGCTGAATGAATCCACTGTGGGACCCCGGCTACGATGAGGTCTCCTCTTCCCCGCCCCCCGTAGGCACTCCCGGCAATCAGCGCGATACGGAAAATGACCTCTCTCTACATGTTTCTTGTACTCCAACTCAGCATCACTCAAACGAATCGCCGACAATCTGTGCACATGCAGCCTCATTGCAGGAGGCCGATATTGCCCTGGTCTTTGACGTAATGGTCTTATCCTTGGGATCACCTGTTCCGGAAACTCCCCGCGATCCTCAACTAGCCACTGCCGCACCTCAAGCAATGAATCATGTGCCCCGCGCGACGCTTCAGTAATGTAAGTACTCTGCTCATATGCACGCCTACGCCTGTCCTCGGCCTTATCTGTGATCCAGATGTCCCATGCCTTCAGAACCGCCAAGACCAGCCCAGGGGCCCACCGATCATGATGCCGATGCCGATTCAACAGGACACGACGATGCAACAAAACATACAAGTCCCACGATGTTGTGAGAATACCTACAGGTTTGGGTTGAGTGGTGCCAAAGAAGCCCTGATCACACTCCGCAGTCCTGAAACCAGCGATCTGGCTAAGCTTGTTCATTATGGGCCATCCGGGAAAGGCTGTGCTTTCATACCTGGATTCCTCGGGATTAGAAAACCCATCACGATCATGAGCATTATCATTCTCATCATTTGGCATCAGGTCATGGTCAGAAGCCGTGAGTGCGACAAAAGTGTCACCATGAACAGCTTGCGCTAGGGCACAAAGTCCGAGGGCCCTCATCGACAGGACAGCGTAGGACCCCCTGCAATCAGAAGGTTTTGGCAATCCACCAACTACCCCCCGAATCAAACCCAACTTGGCGAGCCTAGTCAAATAGCTCCAAACCCCGTGGCTCAGAAGGTCATGGCCGTTTGCAACGTCAATCGAAAGCACTCTGTAATCACTCCTAGGGCGATGCACCCAGTCTTGCAAGCCTGAGCACAAATGTACCAACACCCCCTGGGACCTTTCCAAAGATCTCCTGAGTCGCCGATTCCAAGGAGTCTCATCTCCCGCAATCCAGAAGGAAGGAGTGCCAATAGCCTCAATGACCTTATCCTCTGGAGCATCCGAAAACAGCGAAGCCATAACACCGAAGAACGCGGAATCAAAATCTCGCAACCAATCATCCTCGCGCCCTGCCACAAGAACTTCGCGAGCACTGCGCTTTAGACTGGCCCAAACCTCTGTAAAGTCCAACTGCTGACGATCGCTTATGAGTCTCAACCGCGCCGCTTGAATAAGATTGACGGCTCTGTGAATCTCCAACTCTTGAATAAGTTCTAGCGCGACCGACCTATCAACATAAGGACACTGGTCAATCATGGTGATGTCCAACCACCCCCTGCCCGGATGCCATACTCGGCACAATGAGCCCTCCCAGCTCACATTGCACCTTAGTTCACTAGCCAAACAACCCATCGGCACTATGGGGTCCACCTCCACATCAGAAAGCAAAGTGCCAGTTCTGTTTATCCAAAGCCGCGTCTCTCCTGATGCCAATGTTACATTTACAACCCTCGCATGGTCAAGCTCATCCATCATGGCAGTTCTTAGGGGGTTCGTAGCTCCCCCATCCAAAAGTCCCATAGCCTCAGGTACCGGCGGATTGGGCACATAAGCATCGGTAGAGCTCGCAGCCCTCATGGCCGACAACTTCGGTTGAGAGGCCGTGACTGAGGAAAGCCGAAGGCCCTGCAGCATAGCCTGAGCATTAGCCAAGATCTCCTCCGGTTTCATAGCAGCAGCCTTTGGATTAGGGACTTCAGGGGCCCCGCCAGATGCCTTTGGGCTCACAAGACTGGCTACGGAATCCTTCTGATGAGGAGCAGTTGTCGCGTCCGGTTTGTGTTTAGGCCCTCCGGGCGCCTCGCATTCAGCGCGCTTGTGCTTGGTACTGCCACAATTAAAGCACCTGTTATCAGCATCACTCAGCACCGCGAAATCATGCTTGAACTGACACTTGTTACCTAGACGGCACCCATTGTTCCTGGAATAGAAGCTACATACTCCCTTAGCGGCTACTCCCTTCCCCCCGCTACCTGAAGCAGTGACTGCGCTCGCAGGCTGATTGGATGAAGGATTTGCGTTTGAAGAGCCCGGAGAAGCCCCCCCCCCTGCATCGGCAGGGTTGTTCGCCTTCCCTCCTTTCGGATTGCCCTTCCCAGCCTCAGCCCCTTTTCCCCCCGCTGCCTTCGGCGCCGGTGGTGGATCATGGACTGTTCCTGACTGGCCTGCACCTTTACCCTCAGCCCTCAACGCTTGCAGACGCTGTTTTTTGGTAAGTTGCGGCTCCTCACACAAACCAATCGCTGCGGTTTCTAACTCAGCTTGCAAAGCGCGAGCAAACGTACTGAGTCCTTGCAACGTGGGGTTATGATCGATGGCACACTGGGTTCTCACGATGTTCATCCGAAACATAGCGTGCGGCATAGTCGCCAACAGCTGCTGACACATCTGATCTAAGCCATGTGTTAACAAACTCACGTCGGGCAGAGTAGCACCCATCTGCACTGTGCGATCAAACCACCGAAACCATTTGCGCAAACGTGAAACAGCATCCGACGATGTAGTGGCCTGTCCTGGGTTTGTGAGATAAGAAAGCAGCATCCCTCGTTCTTTCAGCCCTCCCGGTTGACACAGACAGTACACCTTAAAAATGACATTGATGGTACTCATGTTTCTCGAAGCGATAACTTCTTCACGAAGCAGTTCTGGAAGGCTTTTCAACAACATGGCAAGGGCCCGATTCTCAAGCCTCGAAAAACGCGAATCTTGTAAGTACGGAGGAATGCGAGCGACAACCCCTGCACGCGTAAGGGGATCAGCAACCTGCCACTGTTGATAAAGCTGTGAAGCTTCACGCAATATGGCCTGCCAGTACTCGCCACTGTTCGGTGACAAGTCGGCCATCATCGGAGTGATGGTTGCAACCCAGTCCCCCGCTTGCAACGGAGCTTGATTCGGATCCAAGTCTGGCAATTTCGGAAGATCCCAAAAAGTTTTGTCCCCCGGGTTGTACAACCCTCGTTGTTGTTGATCCTCCGGCCTCCCAACAGCCACAGGGCCCTGCCCACAATTCATACCAAGATCTTCGGGGCCCCGTGCGGGCCTCAGCATACCCTGTTGTGTATGAGCCTGTGGTCGAGCCTCGAACTCGGTAGGAGCACCGATTCCAACTCCCCCCGAACCTTGTTCCCAGACTCCCACACAGCCCTGAGGAAGAGGATCAAAAGGATTTCGAGTAGCAGTATCAGACAGAAACAAAGGAGTAGTGGTAGTAGTAGCTGTAGCAGTAGGCCGACATGCATGTGACATGCGACTGCCTTGCGCACATGCCCTCATGTGACTGTCATGTGCAAATGCCCTCATGTGACTGTCATGCTCACATGCACTCATGGACGCAGGCACTTGCAGATCAGGCCTCGGCCCTTGGGCTGCGTTCAGAGAGAAATCATTGCACCCCGACGCCCCGGCTCTCCCCACAACTCCTCCATTCGCCAATCCCGGAAATCCGACCGGGGACTCTGCCATCAATTCGTGGTCTGATGGCAAAGGCATAGAAACCATCGAACTCGAATGAACATGTGGTATACCAGAAGCTACGACGCCAAAGTTCGCGGAAAACCCCTCGTGGTCGAGCCTCCCCCTCTTTTCTCCCTGAAGACTAAAACCTGTTTGGACTTGCTGGAGCGGAGCTTGTACTGCATTCGCGGACATGTCTGACTCATGTGCACTCCGCAAACCTCCACCCGCAAGGGTCGGCGTTTCAATCGAACCCCCGGCATCCGACATCCTATAACCGGGATTGTGGCCTAGTTTATCCCTTTGCAGAAAACACTCCCCCCACAAATACATCCGATCCGCATCTGACCTACCCTGAGATTCAATACGACGCTTCACGACCCTCATTTCTTCATCAGGCATACACAGAATCCGACCTAGAAGATCACTCTCAGTCAAACGCGGCTGTTCATGAACCCTTGGAAGCACAGACGTTTGTTGATCCTCCCTGGAAGGCGGGAGCGAGTCTCCTATGTAGAAGTACTGACAAGCACTTCCAGGCTTCGCGGCAGGAGCTTGAGCAACCATTCTATCACCACTACTTCCAGCCACAGCGCGCTCAGCACTAGCACCCGATACATCTCTAGCCTCGCGACCCTCGTTAGGACCCTTACTAGCTGCAGCCCCAAGTTGGTCATCTACTCTAGCATCAAGTGCAGTTCTACCGGATGCTGCTGATCTCATAGCTTGCTCCTCCTCTATGCGCTCCAGTCGGCGAGAATAGTCTTGCTGCTGGGCCACTACAGCGGCCAGAAGATCACGCATCTGCTCAAGAATCAATCGATCTGCCTCAAGCTGCGGCTGTCTTGTTCGCGGCTGAGACAACTGAGCATCCACCTGCTCCTCATCCACAACACCAGGAACTCCACAATGTTCTATACCGCTAGCCTCTGCACCTTGCTCCAACAATTCCGCCCCTGATCTGGCCGATGCCTGTCTTCTGGCATCCTCATCCAAGTGAGCCGGTCTATGTGTACGCAAGGCATGCTCAAGCTTAGCAGTGTCCGACCAAAATGCGCAAGGCTGGCTTGGGACTGGCTCTACACCACGCGTCCCGTCTGCAATACTAGTCGCAGGACGTCCAAATGTTACAGGTACCCCTTCAGCATGTTGCAGCTCTTGCCGCCCTTCTACAATCTGATCTTCGACATGTACTGGTATATCCTCCGCAGGATGGGGAGGTGACTGTGGGGATTGCCCTTGCTCGATGTCTCGTGCCGCCATTGCCCACTTCGAGAGCTGAAGAGCTCAAGGCTCTTAACCTACTGAAATCCAAGGCACGGTCTATTTCTCGAGCTAAAAAGGCCTCAGTGTGCAGTGAACTGTTCGACCTTGGTACGCAAGGTGCTGGATCTCCGTCCACCACACTAGCCTGGTATGTTCCAAGCTCTTTCTCTGCCCAACACTAGCCAGGTATGCTCGATGAGCATCTGCATCCTATAATAGAGATTTTGGTTAACCAAGAAAAGGAACTACAATGGAGACTGTAGGTACTGTAGGGCTTTGCTTCAAGATACGGGCTCGTCAGCTGCTACCCCATCGGAATTACTTTTGGCCGGAGGCAAGACACACTTTGACGTGATTCGGATAGTGTCCAACCCTATCCAGCCCTGGTTAAGAAAAAGCATTGGGTAGGGTGTTGACAAATCTGTATTAGCTTAATTCCTTAGGTCTCTCTGCTTTGGAATGTGATTCAAGTTTTGTGGCTGGCCAGTGCTTGAGGCGCACAACTATACAGTACACATAGAGCCTGCTAAGTAGCAGCATTCCTTTGAGCAAGACCAGGATGAGCTGCAAGCATGCTTGGTTAGCCACACCAGGCCCATCAACCCGAGACGACAAAATAGCCTCTCAGGCACAGCATCGGCCACGAACAGACAAAAATGCTTGGTAGATGGAAACGTTTTGCTCCCGATGGCATTTGGTTTTTGAGGCGACTGCTCATCGAAGAGGCTGGTGCTTCCGGGCCAAGACTTGTTGAGTGCAGCGCGACAGCCAGGTAGGACTTTAAGAAAAGAGCAAACCTTCAGTCAGATGCGATCCTAGCTAAGCATTGCCCCAAAGAACCACATGGCCATGCGGGTGTCATTTCGCGCCTGGTTTTGTGGCATGCGTTTAGGGCTAGGGTTAGCCTAACCCCAAAGTAGGGACAAAATAACTGCGCAAGACATGCAACAGGCTACTCTTCTACATGCTTTTAGGGTCCACGACGGTCTACGTAGAGTTTATGGCTTAAGGTTCAAGAAATGTCCTTCCTTTGAAAACGGCAGGTTTGGCAGCCTCTCAAGCGCACGTGGTTTGCGGAGTGTGCCGGCCCCAGTGTGGTGTTACACGCTCCCAAATTAATCCCTGAAGGACCCTACAAAGGTCCCTGATTTAGAGAACTAACTACCCTTTTGGAGACTCTCCGCAGATCATCCTACTTGAAGGCTCAAGGGTGCCTCATGTGGAGCTTAGTAACTCGACATGTACAATACTGGTAGCCCCACGCACCTACTGTGTCCAAACGTCGTCGAAGTCCGGTGCAATTTGCGCCATCCTCGTGTATAGATCTCTGAGGAAACTGTGTAAGCGGCCGAACCTTCCAACGAAAATACCCTCGTCGTAGTCCACTTTAGGCCCAGTGTTTACGCGACAAGGCTCGCTTCCGCCCAGCTCACGCAGCGTCCGGGGCTCACAGTGTTTGCCACACTTTGTGGAGGTCGAAATTTGGCCGAGCGTTATAAATAATTGCGTATCGGCCCTAAACCCCATAAACCCTGAAGAGGAACTTGCACCCTTTCTGGATGTTTCGCTGCGGTGCGACTTGGTCAGCTGGGCGGGTCGGGAAACCACATAGCTGTGTTCGGATGTGCTAGTAGCTAGCATACACTCCAGTGTACTATGATATACTACCATACAATATGATGTCCTACGATATATGATGATGTACAGACAAACTGTACAGGCTTGGTGGGTCCTGGATGGTTTAGGGACCGGGGCTGGCTGACTTGGCAAGAGTTGGGGTTTCGGGTGCTACGGAGTGTACGGTAGCAGTATTGGGATTTCTGCTGCTTTTGGAGTTTAGTCATTCAAAACGAGAGAGGAGTTGTTGCGGCAGGCGATAGCAAGGTCGTGTCCCCGAGTCTCTGTAGCATATCTAGGGCATCTAGGGATCGACACTCGCAAACTCAGGAGGCCTCGCAGCTTTGCGGAACGCACGCAGCCGAGGCGGGAGTTGTAAGTTTCGGGAGAGCCAGGTGTTTTCACGGTGGCGATGCGCAGATTGCGTTCGTTTTTTCCCTTGTGAGTTGTATCTCGTGGTTTCGGATCTTGGCTTGGCTGACGGCATCTACTCCTCAGCATTGATATTCATTGGCGCTTCCCACGGTTTGTGCAGTGTCCGCATGGAGCCCAAGCTCATCTGTAGCGCATTGACTGGTAGCTGTGACGGCTAAGCTTGTTACACTAGAAGTCTATGGCGCGAGGCTTCATGCCAGACAAAATCCCCCATAGCACATGCAGGCTTGCTCGTGTGGCGGTCCTGTCCTTGCTTGTGGTGTGTGCTTGGAGGTTCATGGGTAGTTATAAGTGGGGTTATAAGTAGGGCAACCATAATTATATTGGGGGACTTAGAACCCCATGAACCTCCAAGTGCTCTTTGCATTTGAGGCTCCACGAGCATGGCTGCTGGAGCCTCAGTTCCGGAGTGTCAACGGTTTTTGGTGTTTTTAGTGGCTTGGAGAACGGATTTTGAGCATCATGCTGAAAAAGCGACAGCCATCAGGCATGATGCTGCATCACTCTTTGCTAATCCTCGCCGGTGTTTGCTCACATGCTGAGGCCACCGCCGTCGCAGAGCCTGTCGTTTCGCAGAGGCTCTGTTAAATTTGGCGGAATCGAAATGCAGGTAGGAGTCGTCAATGTGACGGCACGGAAGGCCCAAAGCATGTGATGCCTCTGTCCGTGCAATGCAAAAGAAGTTGCCAGATTTCGCCAGATATAGCGGTGCGAGAAAATTGCACAAGGAACAGATGAGAGGATGAAAAGATACCCAACGAGTGTAGACCCGTGTCGGCAGCCTCTCTCTGCGGTTGGGCTTCCCAAGCAGATGGCAGGAGTCGGCGCGTCAAGGCTGTGCAGGCAGGGCAGGGCAGTCCCGCGGTTTGTTGGTCCCTTTCGTCCATCAGTGGCCTTTTTCCTACAAACTCCGCCCGAGTCCGGGTGCAGGTCTCCGACGAGAGTTCTGGACGGAGCCTCAGCGAAGAGCTTAGGATTCACGAAACCCTGATGAATTCCCGCCCCCCTCCTGCAGGCTGCTGTCTGTCAAGAAGGACCCTTAGGGTAAGGGGGGTAGGGGGCCTTAATATTTTTTTAATACGAACCTAAAAAGGTCCATTTAAGGAAGTATAGTCCCCATACCCCGTTAGGGGTCCCTATGAAAACAGTGCAGCGCAATGAATGCCAGGCTCCGATCGGCCTTGGAGAAGAGAGGCAGCTGCCGAAGAAGAGTCCGTAACTTCTTGCTTAAAGGATCGTGGGACTTAGTAACTAGGGTGATATTTAGGGTAACTATACTTTTAACACCAATTAAGGTACTTATGACCTTACTTACTAAGTCCCATGATCCCGAATTTGTGAGCCTTAGACCAACGGTCGTCCACCGGTATGATCGTGCAAGGGTTGGATAGCTTCTAATTGGATTATATGTCTTGAAAGCTTTTTGTGTGCGGCTGCACCTCATGAGAAGCCGGATCTCCGGTGAGCTGGGTAGGTCTTTGCATTGAATGCCTGCCAGCACTTGCCCATCTCGGAGATTCTCCCAGAAATTGTGGATGCATTCCAGACGGAGCAGGACGTGGTGCTCCAGGCTAGGTTTGCAGCATGTTCAGGAGCTCCTGCAAGCATAGCGCCGCTCTCCGTGTTGCGTATCCATCCATACATGTATCCATCGATCTATCTCTACCTATCCCCCTTTCTATCTCTCTACCCTAGCCGTATATCGGTCTATCTTTGAATCTATCTAACTAATCATCAATCCATCTACCTACATATGTATCGACCAATCGATCCACCTATCTGTCTATCTACCTACGTGCCTATCAATCTTGCTGTCTATCGAGCTGTTTATCGGTTTATCTATCTGTTCACTCACCTATCTATTTACCAGTTTGTCTATCGACCGACTGTTTGCCTTTTATCATCTATCTATCTGTCTGGCAATAAATCAGTCAATCTATCTGTTTGTATGGCTGTCCAACTACTTGCGTATCTGTATCTTACATATACCTATAAACCTATACCTTGTCTGTGTTAGACATATACTACTGTAGGCCCAGGCAAGCAGATACGTGAACCGATAGATAGATAAGGCTATAGACAGGAAGATGGCAAGATAGACAGAAAGGAAGATAGATGGACCGACGGACAGAGAGATAGAGAGATGGAAAGAATGCTAGATGCACGGGTAGGTAGGTATGGGTCGGTAGGTGGGTAGGGTACAGAGGTAGATAGCTAGAGAGGCAACCCTAAGCCCTAAACCCGAAACCCTACTTAAAGGATCATGGGACTTAGCAACTAGGGTTATAATTAGGGTAGCTACACTTATAACCCCAATTAGGGTACTTATAACCTGACTTACTAAGTCCCATGATCCCCCAAGTACAGACCATTGCCGATCCTCCCTCCTGAAGGCGCCAACGGGTGCGGGCAAGACGACGATCGTGCCACTGGCGCTTCTAGAGGGTGGCCATGTGGAGGGCAAGGCGCAATAGCCCCAGCTACAG